TAAGTCCCACCAATTGACCGTATTCTTGAATTGTTTTAGTTAGATTTGTAATAGATGTTAAAGGATCTTTCAAAATAAATACCAGATCGTCAGCAAAGGCCTAGAGTTTGAATTCCTATTCTTTTATTTTCAATTCTCTTATTTGGTTGTTTTTTCTTATTAAATTCTTATTAGAGCAAAAATAAACAATAGAGGGGAAAGTGGACATTCTTGTCTTGTTCCCTTTTGTATTTCTATATTTTGTGTTCTATCAACATTTATTATAATGTTGGCATTTTGTCTTTTATAGATTGTCTTGAGCATTGTAAGAAAGGATGAACTGCAGTCCCATACTGCGAGTTTTTGGTGTAAAAATTCCCAGTTCACATTATCAAATGCTTTTTCTGCATCAAGGAAAATTAATGCCATTTGTTTATCTGAATGTATCTCGTAGTACTCTAAAATGTTAATTAAAGTTCTTATGTTGTTTTTAAGCTAACGTTTTGGGAGAAATCCTGCCTAGTCTTGATGGATAATTTGCACTAGTACTTTTTAAAATCGGGTCGCTAAAATATTGGCTAAAATTTTATATACAGCAACGAGATCAGTTTGTAGTTTTTAATCTCTTTCGCATCTGTTCCTGGTTTGTGAATTAGTGTTATCAGTGCTTGATTCCACATTTCTGGCTGCTTTTCTGCTTTTGTTATATTTTGGAATACCTCTTTACTTTCAGGTACATTTTGGCATCTTAGGATTTGTGCAGCTTTATCCATTTCGAAGTTGATCGGGGTCTCCTCCATTTGATTGCTTTATATCCTAAGTTCTTGTAGTTTCTGATCTATTTCCTGTATTCTATCTTCAGTCTTATTATTAGCTGCTGCTGTCTTTAGTATTCCTTGTTTGTTCTCTGTTATTTGCTTTTTAATTTCTTCTGTCTCTGTGGTTATTTTTTGTCTTATTTTTTCCATTTTTGTTTTGATTGGTTCTAATTCCTACTGTGTTTTTAATTGCTTGTGCTATACTTTCCTGGATACATTTTTAAAAATCTTTCACTGTCATTTGGTTAAGACTCATCATGCTTTGTTTTATTTGGGTTTGAACCCCTATCTGTCCTGGTGAGGTGATTGATGTTTTCCTAATTCCACTCCCTCCAGTGGCCATTTACTGTTATTAATTATGTATCTCAGTCTGTTGTTCTCTCTCTGAGCTCCTTAGCTATATTCTATTAATGTACTTTTAATGTATTTTAAGATCAGTCTATTTGTCCTCTTGTATTTCTTTGGCTATCCACCGTATTATTATATAATCCAGTCTCTGTCCATTGGAAAAACTGCTATGTATCTTCCAATCCACTCTGGATTTTAGCTATAGCCTTTCTTCTCCACTTTTTACACTCCTCCCTCTCTGGCCAGCCATGTTGTCACGGCATGTTGCATTGTTCCATTGCATCATCCCGTTGCATCATTTCGATCCTCTCCTCCACTCTCACTTCTTTTGTTGCTCCACACCCCCGTCTCCTTGTGAGTCAGGTCTCCTCAAATGTTTTCCTCTCAAGTCGGGCTTTCTCTGTTCTCTGTCTCCATCTCCCTGTTCACCAGATGTCCCGGGCCCCCTCCACCACAACTTGCCTCCTCCTGCACCAACTCAGCGCCCAGGTATTGGTGTAAAAAAAACAAAAACAAGGAAGAGAGCAAATATTTTGTTAGAGTGTTAAAGCATGGTTATAGGCCGAGTTCAGACTGACAATTTGAAGTGCTAGGGAGTCGTGGCGAAGAAGACCCAGAACAGACCCAGAATGGCTTGTTCATGGTATTCCCATTCCCATTGCAGCGAATGAAATGGGAGGATACCATGGAGGAAGCACAAGGGAGCGTTCACACTGTTGGCCCACCCCTGGTGGGCTGTTAGCAGCTGTTTCTGCGCTCTGCTGCATGCGCCTATGCACAGGGGCGCCTTCCGCAGAAACAACCAGCGCCTATTATCAACGACTGCGGGTTGTTCTTGCCTTAACAGTGCTTGTGTTCACATGTCAGGGAACCGGAATCAACCCGCTCTACACACAGTTTGCTACCACTTTCACCTGGTACTTTTTAAAATCGGGAGGGAAGCAGCACAAGACGGCTTGAATACAGCTGGGGGACGCCTGACAGATGTGCCTGTGTGAACCCGCCCCTTTAATCCGCTACTGAAACGCTCCTGAAACGTTTGGCTGCCGGGCCAAACTGCCAGTCTGAACTCAATCATAGTTTCTTCTTCTAACATTTTTTCCGCTGCCCTCAAGTTGTTTTTTAAGTTATATCTGAGCAGCCTTTTTTTTTTTAACTGCTTGGAATGGGGGCTGCTTGAAATGGGTGGCCCCCCTTCACCATTGGCTCTATGTTTAGGCAGCGAGCAAGGTTTTATTTTACTTATGTTAGGAATATGAGCCAGTTATAAATAAAGCCTAACCTCTATTTTCCCCTCTTAGATAGTTTATAATTGTTGTTAAACAAAAAGTTACCTTTTTAGACTGTTTATCCTGTTGTGGAATCTAGACTCCTTAGGTTCCTCTGGTATCAGCTTGTGCTCAGCATGGGGCATTGAATATCCTTCTTAGCCACCCACTTCAGAACATACCCCCCAAAACCCCCGAAAGAACCCAACTTCGGTATTGAGCTGAGTTCCCTGCTTAGTACTCTCTCTGCAGGAGAGTACTTGAAAGATGGGCAAAAATAGAATAAAAGGCTATAGGAACAGTCAGTGTGTGCAGAGCTCCTCTGTACATGCCTTCAGTCATTGGGATGGCATGCCTACATCTGGTATGGAAAAGACAGAATAAATTCGAATTTTCAACAGCATGCTATAAGAGGAGCATTAATAAAAATATGGAAAGAGATAAAAGAACACTATTACCCTAAAATTCCAAGATGGGTTTCCCCACTGGAAGCCTTTATAAAACCTACGCTAATCAATAAAGAAAAAAGAGTATGTTATGAGGATCTTTTCGATCAAACAGATAAATTAAAACAGGAGAAAGATTTATATTCACAAAAACTTGGTGGGAAACTACACAATTAAAATCCAGATTTAACAAAGATAGTAAAACCAGCTTTTTTAAACAAAAAAAATAATGAATGAGATAAACTATGGTTATATACAGACAACAAAATGATTTAAAAACTATATGATTTCCTACTAGAAGAATATATGCAAGACGAAATAGTTAAAACCACAATGATTGCATGGATGAAAGATATAGGTTATAACATTGATCTAGATCTCTGGCAAAAAACATGGAAAGCTGCAAAACCTATGAGATCTACCTCATATAAATAAAATATTTATAAAGTATTTCATAGATGGCATTGGTCTCCTGATAAAATGGCAAAATATTTCTCTAAAACCACAAATATTTGTTGGAAATGCAAAAATAATGTGGGCACTTATTATCATATGTGGTGGAAAAGTAGACAGGTGTATAAATTTTGGGGCAAGATTTGTAAAATAATTCATGAAATTACAAATATTGATATGGCACTAAAACCTGAAATATACTTATTAAATATACCAGATAGCTGTGTTCAAAATGACTCTTATCTTATAACTTACATTATAACATCAGCTAGAATCCTGTTAGCCAAAGGTTGGAAAACCAAGGGAATCCCCACCATGGAAGAATTGGTACAATGATTGCTTGAGGTCGCAGGAATTGATAGGATAAATGTTATACTGCAAGGTAAAGATGAGAATTTGTACAAGAAGAGATGGTCTAAATTATATCTATGGTTTAAACAATATTGTGGATCTAGACTCGAAAATATATATGTAACTATTTGATTCTGTTTTTTCTTTCTGTAACTATAAAATTATAAATAAACAATTTTTTTAAAAAAGATCATGGAGCAGTGGGACTCCAACCTTTAAGCAAATTAGGGCTCATGTATTTAATTCCAATTCTTAGAGCATTTAGTATGAGAACCTTAGCTTCAGTGATGAAAACCAAGACAAGTTTGGTTGCTACATTTAGACAGATTGAAAGTTGGGGTGAGTACCTGCACATAAACAATATAAATTATGATGGTATTCAGAACGAGTATAAGTGCACTCTTCTTATATATTTGCTTTGTTTTATACAGTTCCTTGAGAAATTTCTTCTTTGACTTGAAGAAGCTATTCAAAACATGACTTTACCTGGGAAATGTGTATCATTTCATTTGAAAATATTCATTTTGAGGAACCTTATTCTTTGGAGGCTTTGGTCCTATAAGCACATGTATACTTCAGACCATTCCACTATTGGATGTTTATTTTGTGCTTTTCTACAATTTATGAGCGAGTCCGACTGTTGCAACTTGGAGGAAATTCTGGCTTCATTAGAGACTCTCACAGAATTGCTTATGTGAGATTATTCTACTACACAGGTTTTGGACGGTTTATAATTTGTGGATAAGGTCTTTCATATTTTGTAAACTGTAATTTGTTTGTATTAATTTTGTACACTGAGAGAATTTGTTGTACAGAACGTTTCACTCAAGTTTGTACTTCTATATACAGTCTCTAAATCCTGGTTTCTTAGTGCATGTGAGCATGGAAATACGGAAGCTGTTACCACCAGCTTTCGGAGAAGTTTCAGTGACTTGTAACACTTCAAACATAATTTACACAGTATAGTTGGTGTGGAAAAATATTGAAGAAGCTAAGATTAATACAACAATAATATTTTTAATGCGTATCAGTGTGTTTACAGTTTTGACGGTTTGTTCTTGGCATATTCCCTTTCTTTGCCTAGGTCTCTCACTATGGCAGAAAGCCTCCCACTGTACCAGTATATCACTTCAGGGTACAACTCTAGGAATTGCTGGAAACATTGTTTCTCATCAGAGATGTAGCGTCACCAGCAATATCCCTGCCCCCCCCAACCCTCCCACTGTGAATTTAGGCAGACCGTGAGAAGGAGGGCAGGAAAGGCTGAGCCAGAGCTTGGCTCTCATAGCCCTTTCTTACATGTCCAGGGTTATGCCAACCACCAATTTGGGGTCAGGAAAGAATTTTCCTCCAGGCCAGACTGGCCCAGGGATCCTGGAGCCTTTTTGCCTTCCTCTGTGCATAGAACAAGGGGTCACTGAGGAGTAGGGGGGGGAGTTGTGAATTTCTTGCATTGTTCAGGGGGTTGGACTAGATGACCCGGCAACCCCTGCTCCATGTGTAAGGCCTAGCATGGACTGTTGCATATTTTAGCTGTCACAAAAGGTTGCAAAGAAACCTCTCACAAACCTTTGACAAAGTCTATAATACTGTCCACAATTTCTACCCCAGCCGGAAAAGTGAAAATGCCATTGTCGGCAAAGTTCAGAACCCCGTGAAACCCCTGTTCAGCATGGAACCACCCGACTTTCACCCCGCAGTCCTCCAGCCGTTTCTTGTACAACAGGCCGTCGTCTCGAAATACGTCGTACTCGCAGGTCACAATGAAAGTTTCAGGGAGCTCCTTGATGATGTGGTCTTCAGCAAAAATGGAAGAAAAGGTTTCTTCCAGCAGTTCTGGAATCCGCTTGTAAACCTCGGGCTTGTAAGGAGCAAGAGGCACCTCTCGGTAACCACGTTTAAATTTCTCGGGAATGTTATCGGCACTCACCCACTTTCGGTATTTCAGCCTAAAATCATCTGGCACATGAGAGCCTTTCAGGATATCATCTTTCAGAGCTAGGTCCTTATTCAGATACCGCAAGGCAAAATGTATTACGTTTTCCTGGCCCAAGAGTGGCATATTAGCATTCTGCACATAGGAAGGCAGGTTGAAGTCCATCGCTTGAATGCCAGCATAGATCAGTGCTTGAGCTCGTAGCTTGGGGAGGTCTGGTTTCTTCGTCAGTTGTTGGGCTACAACGGAAGTGAAACCGCCTCCTGCACTGTCCCCAAAGATGATGATTTGGGAAGGATCTACCCCATAGACCTCCGCATTTCGCATGAAGTGTGCAGTAGCTGCCAGACATTGCTTGTACTGACTGGGATACAGGTGCTCAGGAGACAAGCCATAGCTAGAAAGCCATAAGAAAGAAGCAGAGGGTTAGCTTACTTTGATTCCTTCGCGAATTGGATTGGATGGAGGAATTGATGTCAGATGGGAAGATGTGCATTTTTATTTATTGATACTTGGTTGAATTCACTTACCCAACAGCTACAAGTACTACATCAGCCTCCTTGGCAATTCTATTGCAAATGTCTTGATAGAAATCTAAAAAGAAAAAGAAAGAAAAAATTTGGAAAAGCAATTCACACATTTGGAACAGGAATTCAGAAAATATCTTTAGTATCATAAAGCTTTTTAGAGGGGGAAATAATATCTTATGATTCTCTTAATTTTGTAGGAACAAATCCTTCAGCAGCTGGGAGCAACAGATTAAGTATAAGGATTACAAAATTTTAAAAAATATAATCAATATTTCTCTCAACCTGGTTTCCAGTAGTTACCTATTTTTCGCATACCGACCTTTTCTCATATCCACCTTCTCTACACCAGCTTGGTGTAGTGGTTAACTGCGCCGACTCTAATCGGGGACAACCGGGTTTGATTCCCCACTCCTCCACTTGCAGCTGCTGGATGACCTTGGGCAAGCCATAGTTCTGATAAGAGCTGTTCTTGAAAAAAAGCCACTTCTTTCAGAGTTCTCTCAGCCCCACCTACCTCATAGGGTGTCTGTTGTGGGGAGGGAGGGAAAAGGAATTTGTAAGCTGCTCTGAGACTCCTCTGGGTAGTGAAGGGCAGGGTATAAATCCAATCTCTCTTCTCTCCTCTAGTAGATCCTCTACTATAAATGGACTCAATTCGAGAGGCTTGTTCTTCTCTGTGGCTTTTTTGGTGTTAATTTATATTCACTGTTGTAAATACTTTTAATCCTTAGTTATGGACGTAGTCAGGGGTCATTTTGGAGAAAAAGAGCTAGGGGAACTCATTAGCATAACTCATTAGCATATGCCACACACCCTGACATCACCGGAAGTGTGTCATAAGGCCACACACCCTGACATCACCGGAAGTGTGTCATAAGACCACACACCCCACCCCACCCTGGCCCCAGGCAGGCAGGGGTGGGGAGAGGCAGGGAGGAAGCAACTTACCCTCCCTCTTCTCCTGCCTCCTCCTGGCTGAATGAGGGCCGGAAGCGGGGCAGCCGGAAGCAGGGGGCGGGGCTTCGTCATGTGCCCCGCCCCCCGTACCTCACCCAGGGGAACTGCAATCTCCCGCTATCCCCCCCGAAATGACCTCTGGACGTAGTTGTATTGCATGTTTTTTAAAGTATTAGCTACATATAGACTTGTTGACTCCATTATTAGTTTAGCACTGCTTTCTATGTGTCCCGCCCAGGGTTGGGACTTAGGGACGGGAGGCGGCCGGGAGCCGATGGCCAGAGCAGCACCAACTCACCCCACTCCCCCACAACCGACAGCACCAGCAAACCCGCTGCCAAACGAGCCCGCCTAGGGCCGGGGCGCAGAGTCAGGAAGCAAGCGAGAGCCGGCTGCAGGCGTGTCGCCAACCCCCCCACGCCCCCGCACCTTACAGTGCCAGCTGCCTCGACGAGGATTGGCGTCCGTCGGGGGCCGGGAGGAGGAGCCCACCTCGCGGCGGGACAGGGGCAGGCCTGGGAGAGCAGGAGTCAGAGGAGGCAGCCAGAAGAAGCAACCCAGTCGCTGCCACCCCACTTGGGACTGCACCTCGTAGTAACTGGGCGGGGCGAGTGGAAGTGCCTTGGCGGGGTTCCCTATAAAGGGGCGAGGGGCTCAGAGAGCGGGAAGTCATGGGGGCCAAGGGGGTAATAAAAAGCAGAAGCCGGGAGACAGCCGGGGAGGAAGCAAAGGGACTGGCTGGGAGCATTCCAGATGGAACCTAGAGAGAGGGATTCCCAGGATACCAAGTGGGTATCAAAGCCAGAAACTCTGGGATGGGCAAGGGTGGCAGGAAGCCCACTCTGCTTACCCCGTCTTCTGAGGTTGCTCCTCCCGCTTCTCCTAGAGCCCTCATCTCGGCCCTCAGGACCCGTGACTGCCCGAGACCAGACTCTGAGGTTAGAGGAGGGGAGCGATTGGCCACGGCCAGCAGGGGGCAGACCCCCCCATCAAGGTCAGGCGTGACACTATGTTAAGTTTTTTATACAATCTATCTTATGTTATTCTTGTAACCAGGGGTCATTTCGTAGAAAAAAAGGTGCAGGAGCTCATTAGCATAACTCATTAGCATAACTTATTTGCATATGCCACATCCCCTGACATCACCAGAAGTGTGTCAGAAGGCAACACCCACCACTCAGGCTCCACTGGACTGTTCTGCTAACTATGGGGGTGGGGGATGCGCAGATCTGCCCTAGCAGCGGAGGGAGAGCTTGTAGCTGAATAAACCTTGGACGTAAAGGTGCCACTGGACTGTTTTGGATTTCTAGCTGGGGGTGGGGAATGTGCAGATTTGTGCAGGAAGGAGGGAGGGAGGGAGAGAGGGAGAGGGGGGAGAGAGAGAGAGAAAGGAAGGATTCTTGTTCCTCGTGGCCTGGGGTTGCTGGGAGCAAGGGGGTGGGGCTTGTTGCATGTGCCCGCCCCCTAGGCTCTTTACTGCTGGATCTCCGCTCCTGTGTGCTCCTGCAGGAAATGACCCCTGCTTGTAACAATATTCTAAACTGTTCAATAAAATTTAAAAAGAAAGATTTTTCTGATTTTAAACATATGAAATTACAACCTCAGTGGAAAACATCTTGATTTGGGTCTGTTCTTAGCAAAGCATTAGATAAATGACCGAGTTTATGTATTGATTCATTTAAACCATTAGGGTGATGCACTTTTCTTTTTAAAAAATTTGTGCTTAATTTTACAGGTTTTGAGAATTTGATATGTTTGTGTGTGCAATATAAAATGCAGGTATTTTACAGGAAAATGTCTGCATGAGGCAGTTGAAAGGGGCTTAGATACCTTCACTAATATGCATGGATTGTCCATAAGGTCGCCAACCTTCAGGTGGTGGCTGGGGATCTCCTAGGATTACAAATAATCTCCCGGTGACAGAGATGAGTTCAACTGGAGAAAATGGCTATTTTTTAATGAAAAGGTGGATTCCATGGTGTTATACCCCACTGAAGCCCCTCCCTTTCCCAAACCCCACCCTCCTCCAGCTCCACCTCTCCAAATCTCCAGGTATTTCCCAACCCAGAGCTGGCAACCCTACTTGTATAATCAGGGGTCATTTCGTAAAAAAGAGCTAGGGGAACTCATTAGCATAACTCATTAGCATATGCCACACACCCCGACATCAGGGGCCCAGCGGTGGACCTGCAAGGCCAGTGGGAGTGTGAGGAAGCCCCGCCAAGGCCCTCCCTGGCCCCAGGCAGGCAGGGGTGGGGAGAGGCGAGGAGGAAGCAACTTACCCTTCCTCTTCTCCTGCCTCCTCCTGGCTGAATGAGGGCTGGAAGCGGGGCGGCTGGAAGCAGGGGGCAGGGCTTCATCATGTGCCCCGCCCCCTGCACCTCACCCGGGGGAACTGCGTTCCCCCGCGTTCCCCCCCCGAAATGACCTCTGTGTATAATGGAGAAGCACAATCAAAAACAGGAATATTAGAATCCAACCAAAAGGAATACAGAATTCAATTGCATTCCTGTTTCCCCCTCCCCCTTGTATTTTTTAAAATTCTTCATTTGTACTCAGTTTGCCCCAAACGGAAGGCTTGCAATATCTTATTCTCCACTGACCCCAAAATAATATGACAAACATGAAACTGACTCAAATCCCATAAACGTGAAAATCTGTCCACAACACTATATGAACTCTCTGAACTCTCACCGATAGTTCCAACCAAGCCAGCTCCCCCGTGGAAGAGAACCATTCCTTTCCTCCGGCCAGCAGATGGCGCCTTAGGCTGGTAAACTCGGACGGGAACTCTATCGAAAAGCACATCTTTGGCAGAGAGACTTGGATCCAGACTGGACTTCATGATCCTCATTGTGAAGCGAATGAATTCAATCTGCGTGCAGATGCCCAACCTTTCGCAGATCTTCCCCTTGTTTCAAGAAAGGAAAGAAGATGGATACTGTAAAGTCTACTGAATATATTGGCTTTTTTAAAAAAGAAAACCTTCCGATTCACGATTACTAAGGTTATTTAATGTGATTTCTATGGACTTTTCTCCTATAAACGTTTGCCACAGGCTGCCTCCAGACGCCCATGGTGTGATCGCGTCGGCACGCAGCATTCCCCTCCGGTCCCTCGTTTACCTGCCGGCGCCGAGGGAAGGACCGGTGGTGTGCCGCCGGCACATCTGATCACGTAATCACAGATCAAACTGTGCCAGGGCAATTAGCCACGCCTCCCCCCCGCGATATCCGGCCCGTGTGACCGGGGCCATATTCCACCATTCATAGCACTTTATGACATCCCTTCCCCTTTCATTAGCCTCATAGTCCTTCAAACGTCTGGCTGTAGGGTTTCCAGGTCCTCCCAGCCACCAGCAGAGTGTGGGACTGGATGCCTTCCATTCTTGTGCTGGACAAAGACTTTTTTGAGATCTGGGGCTTTGGCCCCACTATCAGGAAACTCCAGACCTTTCTCAGTGTTGGTTGGTTCTGGAGATCTTCATGGAGATGGACCCTTGGCTTCTACTGCTTCTTTTACTTGGCCTCTCCATGGAGATGAACCACCTCTGCTCATCTCTTACCTTAAAAACTCCATTATCCCGGAGTTGCCATGAATCTGTTGCAACTTGACAGCACACAATTATTACTTTTATTATTGGTATCATCTTTCGTCCCTGGCATTGCGTTGTACCTTTGTAATTTCACTCTCTGCATCGTTCATAGTATAACTTCCTCTGAGACAATTTTGTTTTCTGATGCCCTAATTGTAGACCTGTTGCGTTATTCATAGTTTGTGTTATCATGTCAGATCACATTGTTTCATAGTCAGTCATCCACCTTGTGTCTCAGCGAGTATGGCAGGCTATAAATAAAGTATATATACCCATAAATAAATAACGCACCGCGCCGCTTCTTTGTTGCGCGCAGGATTGTCCTGTGATCAGCACCTCTCCCTACCCACGGGACCTCCACGGGACCTCCACGGGAGGTCTGATTACTTAACCGCGAGTTAGTTTGCCCCGGGGCAAACAGCCATGCTTCCCCCCCGCATTTTCCTGCCCGTGTGACCGGAGCCTATATATACCCATAAATAAAGATGGTCTTGTTCTGCCGTGTGTTTGGCTCATGTCAAAGAACTCCAGCAGAAGGACCAGGATCTCCCCCACCCCTGCCGGCAGCCGGTTAAGACCTGACAACTCTATGCCACCTTGTGTGATTCTTTATACCCCCACTGTTCTTCCACCCACAGTCTCAAGGTGGCCTACTTAAGGTTCTCTAATCCCAACTCAGACCAAATCCAGACCCATATTGTATCATGTGGGGGGGAAAGTGCCATAAAATGACAACTGTCTTATGGCCACTCCGTAAGGTTTTCAAGGCAAGAGACGTTCAGAGGTGGTTTGCCATTCTTGACACCTCTATGCTCCTGCAGGAAATGACCCCTGCCCCCACTGTTCTTCCACCCACAGTCTCAAGGTGGCCTACTTAAGGTTCTCTAATCCCAGCTCAGACCAAGCCCAGACCCATATCGTATCATGTGGTGGTGGGGAAGTGCCATAAAATCGCAACTGTCTTATGGCCACTCCGTAAGGTTTTCAAGGCAAGAGACGTTCAGAGGTGGTTTGCCATTGCCTGCCTCTGCATTGCAACCCTGATCTTCCGACCCTGCTTAGCTTGGGCCACAGGGCATGTCATATCATACCCTAGGCCAAAATGTTAATCCTTTGAAAGGTAACTTACCTGATTGTCTCATGTAAATGTAGAGGACAATTCAAGAACTAGGACATCATCTTAAAACAGCATTCCCACATTTCCATTCAGGGTTTTAGGTAATTAAAGTAGCGTCAAGGTCAAGGTCAAGGTTCCCCTTGCTCGAAAGCCAGTCGAATCCAGCTCTAGGGGGCGGTGCTCATCTGTTTCCAAGCCGAAGAGACTGTCCGAAGACGTCTCTGTGGTCATGTGGCCCGCATGACTAAACGCCAAGGCGCACGGAACACTGTTACCTTCCCACCTAAGTGGTACTTATTTAACCACTTGCAATTTCTTACTTTCGAACTGCTGGGTTGGCAGGAGCTGGGACCAGAGACAGGAACTCACTCCGTCATGCTGCACTCAGGTCTCGAACTGCCAAACTACCAACCTTCCAGTCTGCAGTTCAGCATCTTAACCAGTGAGCCACCACAGCCCCTAAGTAGGGTCACTGCCTGATTAGATCTCTCTGGTGAGGGACTTCCTGGAAGAAGGAATATAGCTATCGGTGTAGACAAGTATATTCTGCTTTGGTGATAGCCCAACCAAGGCTATTTGAATTTTAGGTTTGTTTTGTACATTTTTATCTCATGCAAGGACTTCACATCCTTCTTCCTGCCTTCATGTTATCCTCACAACAACCCTGTGAGGTAGGTTAGGCTGAGAGAGAGAGGGATTGACCCACAGTCACCCTGCAAGTTTCAAGCTTCCTCTGATATGTTTCCCAGAGAGCATTACACTCTGCTGAGAACAATCTACTGACCTGGTGGAACTCACTGCCAAATAACATCAGGGCCCTGCAAGACTTACTGCAATAATAAGGTGGATGTTAAAAAAAGCTTTAGCAAGACGTGAGGCATTTTGGATACATCGACTACAAACACAATATCCTAAGGGATTAAACCTAGATATAGACTATGCATGTTTTTTATAAGTTTAGTAGGTAGATCTATAGTAATAGGGACTACAGATTAATAGGATATGGTGAAGGGCTCTTTAAGAGCCTTCTGCAGGTGGCATCACTTAGGATACATATGGTAAGCATGTAGAAGTAGAACAGAGAGACCTTTTTGGCTTCGAAGCTTAGTCTGTCAAGGACAGGTCCCACATGAGATATGGTTTAAGGTAGGTAGTAAGTAGGATTGCTTTAATATAATGCAATTATATAAATAACTGGATTAAATTCCAATACCTCTGTTTTGTAGGAAATAAGGGCTAGTCCCTATATTAAATGTAGCAACTCTTGAGAAGAGTCTTTAGAAACCAGGAAAATAACATTGCAACATAAAGAAAATTTATACACAATACCAGGTAGTATTCTTCAATTT